GAGAGAGTGTCCCTGTCAGTTTCTGCACTCTTCACCAGGAACCTAGAGCTGCAGCTTCCACACCAGGGGGAATCGTGAGGTTTTGTTCATACAAGCTGCTTCCTTTACAGCCAGCTTCGCCAGCGGCTGCTCAGTCCCCTCTACCCACACCTCAGTTAAGTTGTGTGGAAAATGTGTGGCTGTGAAAAGGACTTTGCTGAGATTTCCTTTGTGTCTCATAACTTTTCACCTAACTTAGCTGCACAGGCCAGATCTGGAGAAAAATGTTTGCCAGACACTGGCTCAGATTCCAACCCATGGAAGCCTTGTAAAGTATATACTGGTGCTTAAGGCAAGAAGATGGATGTAACAAGAATTGGAAACGAAGTACAAGCGCTATCACAGTTCACAGATGAAATGTTTATGTGGGGAGAAGCAAAAAAGCAACCTAAGGTGAAACTATGAGCATAAACAATACACACAGCCAATCAGCAGACTGAAAAGAATGCACAAAAATGAAATGTATTTTATACACCAAAGACAGAGTAAAAAACTAAAGTTATTTGAAGAAAGCATTTATAATACAATCACACTTCTAAAAATTCGGAACAGAATAAAAACATACATGTAAACCTCCTATCTTGAAATTTCCAAAATATTACGTGAAACAAAGGGAAATGAAGTGTTATCATGATTTCAATGATAGAAAACCTCAATATGGGAAATAGTGCACTTCACCATAGACCGACATTGACTCCCAACAATGGGTTGAATCTGTCATAAAGAAGGAGAAACCTGAGTCATTTGTAGGAAAGCAGATGCTGCTTGAGATTACAATTCTAAGTGAAAGACATCAGACCACAAAACTGAATATGTCATGGTGTGTATTATATGAAAAACCCAAATATAAATAAAGAGGAAAATATAACTTTAGAAAACAAAAAATAAGCAGATATTTTATAAAAAGGAAAAGGATCTGATATGAAGAAATGGGAGGAAGGAGAAAAGGGGGAAGAAATAAGATGTGTTATTTACATGTGACAACTCTCCAAAGAAAAGCTAATTATTCTATCCTCCAAATAGGTACTAATAAAAACTTAATCTTAGTATAAAAAATAAAAGAAATTACATAATATTACATAAAAGAAAATGATGTTGTGATTCAATATGAATCCATGTTTGTTCCTACTTAACCCAGTGAAGCAGATCTGAGTCACCAGTTAATTGCCCATACTCCACCACCTGAAAGACCAAATTTTAAAACATCATGTGGAATTTGACTTCATTATCTATAACACTGAATTTTGTTTTTGCTCTGTCTTCTTCTCCTTTTACAAATGCTTTTCATGATTTGTTGTGGCTCACAGGAGAGCTCATTAGGTCTTCTATTTGATTTGATCTGTGTGGATCCAAGGATTTGCTATGCAGAGAGTGTTCCTCTTTCCCTCATCAGAAACCATCTCTTTCTCTGTCTGTCCTAACATCATCTGTGCATTTAGAAGCTCCTGGCATGAGGTAACATTGTGATGTGTTAGGATTTAGAAGTAAAACACCCCCATGTGCTGGGGCATCTGGAATCCACTGAGCCCCACAGGCCCTGTACTGCTGAGGGATTGGCCCACTGAAGGGTTCATAGCTGAAAGTGCTGTGAGGTTGGGGTCTGAAGCTTGAGTCCCTGGAGCTGCGACCTGCAAGGCTGTATTCTAGTCCCAGAATGTTCCCTTCTCTCTCACTCTTGGCTGTGGTAGTGGAAACACTTTCCTCTCCCACACCTTTCCATCATGTCATGACTTCCTTGGAGCCAGTCAATTATGGACTGAACCCTCTGAAACCTTGTGGGAAAACAACACTGTCCTTCTTTGAATTCCAGCTGTCAGAGGTTTTGTCCCATCCATGCAAACATTACTGACGCATGCTGACAAGAGCCCTACATTCATAGAACTGATGTACTAAGCCAAGGACAAATCTCCTGACTGTTGTTGACGTTTTATGTCCCATAGATGCGGTCGCACAACTCTGCCCTCCAAGTTCAGTGTCTTCATTAAAATGTCAAAGTAACTGCTGCCTGACAAGTGTTGTTAAAACTGTCATACAGGAAGCTGTTGGTCAAGAAGGAGGTGGTATGTGAAGCAGTGTTACTCTCTGAATTCCAGAGGTCAACTTGCTTCCGCCCTCACCACTGTTTAGATTGGCATGACATAGGCAGAGGGAGGGACTCAGGAAACACAGTGCAACTGGGATATTCTGCTGTCTCAGCTGCCCCACCTGCTTCCATATCCTTATTACTGAGCATGGGAGGCCTGAATACGAGGCTTGCCTGGGTTTGCTTTCCCCCAGTAACAGGTGTTGGAGGATGGGAAGAATGAGGCTGTGTTCAGAGATGCAGAGCTGGAGCCCTCAGTGTCTGTCCGTGCTGACCCTAGTGCCCTCAGGGCCCAAACACAGCCCAAACTGCATCTCGAGACTGTCATGTGCCTCAAACAAGCTACATTTTTAACTGTCTGATGAATCACATTTTTATTAGAATTCAGGGCAAATTGATCATCTTTTGTCCTTAATTATTTAGAGAGCTGACTGAAGAGAGAAATCCTTTCTGTCTCCCAGCGAATCTGACCTAGGTAGGATTGAAATATTATGGGAATCAAGAAAGTGTATCTGAAAATCAGACAAGTAATAGGGCCTCAAACTGAAAATTCTATAAATTGCTATGTCCCAAATCTGCCACTAGATGGCGAGCAAACCCCATAATAAACAAAACCCAGAGGCTTGATGTTATGAAGACTGGGGGGGACACACAGGAGCCACTGCTCCCTTATCCACAGGGCGCTCCTAAGAGCTTGAAGCTCTCTCTCCAGTCTCGGGGTTCACATTTCTGCCGAGACTGTTCACAGGGGCCACGACTGCCCCATGTGCCATTTTCTATATAGTTTCTATTTCTTTCTGATCTTCAGTAGACACAGCCGGTGAACGTGAAGCTTCCATAAGGAGTCAAGAAGCACAGTCTGAGCCCTGGGTCAGTACCGGCCAAGCACGTGCTAGAAAAGAAATGCTGCCATCCTGAAGGTGCAGCACCCGTGTGCGGTCGGGTTGAAGTGGCCTTGCGGGTTCAGAGGAGTTGGAAACAGAGCACACTGACGGCTCCATTCAGCAAAGAGGAAGACAGTGTGGTGTGTCCCACGTAGGAGGGGCAGGAAGTGAGCAGGGAAAACAGGATGTGACGTCCCATATGTGTCCCAGTTCTGCTCCCAGAGTGGTCTGCACGGTTCACAGGTATCGGGGCAGGGCCTCTGCTTCATGATGCCCAGGCTATCAGTGCGAAGGAAAGGTGGAAATGAAACCCTTGTGGGTACTCAGTGCTCATGGTTGAATTGCCAGAAGTTAAAAAGATACATCAGATATTGATGTAATAAGTTATTCACGTATGTCTTTAATACTCATAACGGGAACACAATAGACCCATAATGTACGTATGCGTTTACCAGGGCTCCTTATCTTTCTAAACAGAACACGGCCTGACTGAGGCAGGACTCAGAGATGGAACAGTTGCTGATCGTGGTCTCATTCTTTATCCCTCAGGACAGGGAGAACAGTGCTGAGAAGAGCTGGACCTGACTCTGAGGTCCTGGGTTCTCAGACACTTTTCCTGGCCTCCTACTCTTGGCCTGGTTCAGGGCCTGTGGAGTGGAGCTCTTTCCTTCTGTGGTCCTCAGCCCCATGCTCAGCACAGCAGCTGCTTCCTCCCCAGCCCACAGCTCTCTGCAGGGCAAGCCTGACTGCAACCTCGTTTGTATCTTGTGTTTTCTAACTCTTCCTGAATGTCACAGGCAGAGGTCTGTGCTCCCTCAATTTTATACACCTTATTTCACCATTTCCGGAAGTCAGCCCTGCATCTGCACAACTTCAAATTTGAGTTCTTCTCATCATCAGGGCAATGCTTATTCCAACCTGGACAGATAAATGTTTCCTTCATATCTCTGTAACCCATCAAATAAATGTTTAAAAAGCAACATTAAATTAAGGCACATAGTTTTTAAATGTAAACCCAACAACCATCCACTCTTTCTTTGGTTTACTGAGCACGAGTCTGTGTCAGTACACGTGGCAGGGACAATCAGCCTCTTCTAGAGCAGGAGGTGCAAGGCCTGGGAGCCACATGTGATCAGCTGTGAGATAAGAGTAAAGAGGAAGAGGAGAGTGGAGCGGTGTCAGGAAGGATTTTGCTTCCCTGAAAAAGCAAGATGGTGATGAGATTTGCCCGAGTTTCTCCCAGGAATCCTTATTTAATACTTGACACTAAGAGACAGTGAAGCCCTGATGAGGACAGAGGGTGTTGAGCCAAAAAGAAAGATTCTCTGTGGTGACAGAGACACACAGAAAAACACCAAAAGATGGAAATTTCCCTCCTATCATCAAAATGCTACACCAATTCCAATTTCTCCAACAATCTGATTTCTGTTTATTGGCTGATACAATGTCCTGTACTTGCCTCAAAATTCTTGTGAATTATTCAGAAAAGATATTTGATGGGAAGAAACTTGGAAGGTCTTTGATCTCATTAAGAACACAGGCAGCATCTTACACCTGTGTGTGTTTAAGGGACCGGGGCACCAAGGGGTTGAGAATGTATTTGTCTTCTTCCTACAAAGACATTTTATACAAGTAAGACCAATGTTTAGAGATATCTGAACCTCTTTAAAGAGTTTAAAATGTTATTGTCTTCATTTTTCTTCTCATATTTTACCCAGGATACACTGTACCCTCATGTTTAATTTCTCCCAACTCCAAGGGTCACCACCATAGAACTGCGAATAAAAAATAGGACAAATGCATGTGCAGAACCATAAAGTATGCAGGGCATCGTTCATTATACTATTGTTTGCAGGGATTCTGCCCATGGCCCCCCTCAGAAGCACAGTCTCTGCAGCAAATTGTATCTAGAATGGTCTTGCCTGGGAAATGGGCCCCTTTGCCTGTCCTGAATTACTGAGAAGAGGCAGCCCTGCAGCCCAGCCCAGCCCCACTCAGCGTCTGCTCATTTGCATGTCCCAGATCACAGCCCTCTGCCCTGAACATTTATGAATCTGCTCACACGCTGTGCAGGACTCAGTCCCAGTCAGGACACAGCATGGACATGAGGGTCCCCGCTCAGCTCCTGGGGCTGCTGCTGCTCTGGCTCCCAGGTAAGGCAGGACAGCCCTGGGCATTGACTCACTCCAATGTGGCCAGTGCTTCCTAGCCCTTCACAGAGGTTTTCTTAAAGCCTGATTGATTGCGTGGTCTTTGTGTTTATGTTTCCCGTGTCAGGAGGCCGATGTGACATCCAGGTGACCCAGTCTCCATCCTCGCTGGCTGCCTCTGTAGGAGACACAGTCACCATCAACTGCAGAGCCAGTCAGAACATTTATAATGCTTTAAATTGGTATCAGCAGAAACCAGGGAAAGCTCCCAGGCTCCTGATCTATGCTGCAAGCAATTTGCAGTCTGGGGTCCCATCCAGGTTCAGCGGCAGTGGATATGGGACAGATTTCACTCTCACCATCAGCAGCCTGCAGCCTGAAGATGTTGCAACTTATTACTGTTTACAGTATCAGAGCTCCCCTCCCACGGTGATACAAGCCATAACAAAAACCTCCCAGGAAGCAGAAGTGTGAGGCTGGGCAGCCCCAGCTGCTCCTCCTGATGTCTCCACCTGCTGAAAATATTTCCTAGATGCAGCCAGGGTTTGAAGATGACTGGACGATTTGGTAGAAGGGGTCAGGGATTCCCTCCTGCAGTGATTATCTTTCCTTCTCCTCAACCGCAGCAGCCCTGAATATCAAACCCTTTCTTAGTATAAAGGAAAGTGTATGATATCTGAGGATTCTGTGTTGTGACATCATTTGGAACTCAGTGAACCAAAGAAAAGTTATTCAAGACACTCCACCACGCATTGTTCTAATACAATGAATTGTAATCTAACTACAGCTTTCAAAGTCCTGAGGAACTCAGGGCAGCGGATACTAGAAATGGAGAGTTCTCTGGTTCCCTCAGATGGCAGTAATACCACAGAATGAGCCGCCTAACTGTGATCTTTAAGGCTGTGGAGAAAAACCAGGAATATTGTCATGACTCTGTCACATGCCTGAAGCAGCTCTTCTTGTGAGTTTCCATCCCTCAGGGCTGATCCTATAACTACCTAGTGATTTCTCTAACCACTGAACCTGCTCAGTCTTTGAAAACTCATACATTGGCCTCTACTTATTCAGCTTTACCCTATGTGTAGAAGGAAAAGTAGATAGGAGAAATTTCCTTTCAGAATGATGGTGATACTGGGGGTCAAAAGCTCACAGGGCAGGATGGCCACAGTTATCCCGTCTCAGTTTATTTTCAGTTAGGGAGGGCATCCAAATGTGCTCGAATGTGTTTCCATATATTTATGTGTGAATACCGGATCATATCCTGCAATATCATTAAGTCATTCACTAAACTGAAAATAAGAGGGGATTAAATGATATATGTAGAAACTCACACCCAAAAATACATATCAACACACACTTGAGAAACTTTGCTTGGTCAAAACAAAACAGAAGTGATCTCTCTCCATTAAACAGATTAAAAATATAAAATCCAGAAAACAGCTGGGTAACTGCAATAACTGGACTTTGTACATGGTCCAAGTTTGGCATGCAGGGCTTTCCAATGAAGTTCCACCCTGAAGCTCCTCACTGAGCACGGTGCCCTCAAGGGTTTCAACAGTACAGTACAGAGAGGTCAGTCATTCTCCATTCCCTAACAGCCCAGGGAGACCCATGGGTAAATGCAAGGCCATTAGACTCTGATGTCTGCTCACAGACTCTACAAGTGAATTACTTCTAACTGAGGCTGGCATGGCTAAACCACTTTCAGTCATCTCACTTGTAAGGAAAAATGTCCTGTGCTTACTAACATATGCTTTTCCGTGTATCAGTGAGGAGATCCCACTAGCAACAGTAACCAAGGTGATTCCTGTGGACCAAGTGCAACATGTGGAATCAGCCACTACTCTCTGACATGCATATTTCATTTCCTTGCACACCATGTTTCTAACCAAAATGCCTGTTGGAAATTACTCAGTGTTTTGGTCAGAGTTAGTATAGGCCATACTATGGCACATTAATCCAAAGAATTTACTTAGAGCAAAAAGGAGAAACAAATTCTGTATGCCCAGGCTCTCACTGTGTCACAAGTACCCCTGTCCTTATAGAAAGAAAGGTCATAGGTCATAGTGCCTTGGCACATTGTAGTTCAATGGTATTGCATAGTGACTAGCATACATGATTAGACCTTTGCAGAAACACATGAAGGATTTGAGACAAGAAAGTAAGGGAAGGGCTGGGGACATAGCTTAGTGCTGCCTGGCAAGCACAAGGTCCTGAGCTGGATTCCCAGTACAAAAAAAATCCAAGCAAAGAAAGTATTGGAAGTGCTGTGACTGGACCCTTCAAATTGAACCAAAGTTGAAAATTATCAATCTCCAATTAAATTTCTCATATAAGGTCATTGATCTGCAGGTGAACCTCAACTGTTAACAGTACCCACTATGTATGCTTCAGTTAATCACTCACCCAGCCGGCCCAGTGAGGTGATGGCAAATATAAAATAATAAGTTTTTCAGACTAACCAAGAGCAACCACGTTGCTCTTGATATTTTTTCAAGTCTAAATTAGTGTAAATATATATGCATTGTATAGATTAATGGGACTCAATATATTCCATGCATCTACACATGAGATGTACATGTCCATTTATCTATTTTCTGTCCTCTCCTGCTTTTCTCCTCTGCCTCTCTCTCCCTCTCCCACTCTCCCTTTCTCTCTGTCTCTCTATCTTTCTGTCTGACTCTCCCTACCTCTCTATCTCCTCTCTTTCCTCTTTCTCCCTCTCTTCCTTTCTCTCCTCAGCATTCTTGTTTATATATATATATATATATATATATATATATATATATATATATATATATATATATATATATATATATATATATATATCAATGTTTTTATGTCCCTCCCAAACCTCACTCTCTCATGTGTGTGGCATTTTAGTGTGATTGCATCATGTGTGTTTGATAATGGATCTGCCAACTTACTTGTTTATCACCATTCTGTGTGGGGAGAGAATTTAATGGAAAGAAAAGGCCTATCCTGGGCAAGAGTGGAACCAAGCAATGGGCTTAGAGCTTGAATGCAATAAAAATAGAAAAGAAGGCAGTTGTGCTTCTTCCTGCCTGCCTCACCATGAGCTGTTTCTCCTCTGCCTTGCCCCTCTGCTATGCCTGCCTCACTTGCAACCAACCATGGCCTAAAGTCCCTACAAATTAAGGGCTTACGTAAATAAACTCTACTTTCTTTAACTTGTGGGTGCCAGGTATTTTATTCCAGCAAACAAGAAAGAAACTGAGACAATATTTGGAAGTAAACATATCATGCTTGTCTTTCTTTGTCTGGCTTATTTCAGTGAACAAGATTCCCTTTATTTGAGTATATTTTCCTTGAGATGACAGAATTGTATTCTCTTTTATGAATAAATGATGAACTCCCATTTCTGTATATCATAGTTGTTTTATGTGTTCATCTGTTAAGGGAAACCCAGGCTGATTGCTTAACTTACTATTGTGAATAATGCTCCAATGGAGGCATGTATTGTACACAGCTATCTGCTCTGTATGCTGACTTCACTTTCTTTGGGATATACCCAGGAGTAGGATCCTTGGCTCACATAGTTGTTCTATGTTCAGTATTTTGGTGAATCTCTAGACTGCTTTCCGTCATGGGTTTCCTGAATTATATTCCCACTAGAAATATAGAAGGATTTCCCATATCCTTGATCAAATTTGGAGTTTTTAAACATAACCCTCTGATCACCTGTGCATTCAGTTTAGCAAGAAGAATGACATGTCCTGAATCCCCAAAGCCACAGGGCAGAGGAGGGCGTCAGTCTCTCACTGAGAGTTCAGTTGATCGTAGGGGGCCAGCAGAACAGTGCAGTTCCTCCAAATTATTGCACTTCAGCTTGAATGCTCCTCCCAATGTGGCTGCATGGTGAGGCTCAGCTCCTGCAGCAGTATTCTTCCTGTGGTCTTTTTCATGGTTTAGCATCACTTCCAGGAATGCTTTGGAGCCTTACCTATACTATAGGACACTTTAGTCCTCTGAAATATTTCTGTTTCACAATACAACATGCCCAAATAATTTATTAGTTTTAAAGTAAAATATGTATGCAAAAGAATGCATCCAAAACTTTCCTGCAAATTTTTTCTATAAAAGAATTGTTTTAAAAGCAGAAATCCAGAGGCTGGGGATTTAGCTCAGCAGTACAGCGCCTGCCTGGCAAGCTCAAGGTCATGAATTCGATTCCTAGTGCTGGAAGAAAAACAAACAAAATAAAAGCAGAAAACCAAAAAAACAGGACAAAAATCTCATTCAATAAATAATAAAAATAGCAACATGATTCACATTATCAGTTCTTGTTTACTTATACGTTGAAGACCTGCTATGCCCTCCACAGTGCAGTAAGCATCGTGCAACAGCAGTACTCTAAATTTAGACACAGTGCTCTGCACATGTTTAAAGAATTTCAAACTTTTTATTAACATTTCCAGGTTGTACCTGGTTTAGGAAAGATAAGAGAGGACGTCTCATCCCTCCAAAATCATCACACAGGCACCACACTTGTTACCTGAGATGATAAACCTGAGAGAAGTTGAGATTGAGCCAGCTTTATCCCAGTCATCTTGGTGTATCCAAAACACGCTTAGGGATGCCCGGTAATGGAAACTCTATGCTGCCTGAGAGGGGAAAGCTGAGCATGCTCGGATTCTCTGAAATAAAACACTTTATTGAGGTGTTAAAGGTGCTAGTCAGAAGAGGACCTGGTCATGGGATACTTTTGCAACTTCCCCAAGTGAGGCTGGAGAGGAACTGGAACCATGTCCACAGCACCTAGAAGCCAAGAGCAATTTCATAATGGAAATTTGGGGAAGAATATGTTGTTGACTTTGAACCTGCACTGGCACAAGCAAGAGCAGGGAGATTGCACCAGAAGAGACGAACTGTGTGATAGGAGGGAAGTCTACAGTGGGTGTATTTGTTCCTCATGCAGCGGTTGGGCTCACAGTTGGGAAAGTGCTGAGGATCTAAATTCAGGGGCCTGTTGATGGGATCATGTTATGTTTGAGGTTTCAAAAAATATGCACCTGGAAGAAACCATTTTTTTGGCCTCCATTTTTTACTGGTAATCTTTATATTATCTGTCTCCACATAGAGCAATTTTGTAATTCAATCTGAAATCTCAAAATATGCTCATCATGCTGTGCAGATAAAGACAAGAAGTAGGTAATAATATTTAGTATAAGCAAAAAATCACTGCACTTCTCTTAAAATGAACAGGATGATTGTAGTTTTTAAATTGGGAACTAGACAGCAATGAACAGGAAAATCTCATCAGGATTCAGAATTGAACAGGGTGGGGGAATTACCATTCATAAACTATTACCTTTTCATTGAAGGGCAAATATAAAACTTTAATGTAACCATAATATGGGCCAGTCACTGAATCCCATTTATGATTGTTGTATTTAATTGAAGAAAAAATAAGTTGAAAATGTGTCACAAACAAGTCCATATTACCAGAAAGAGGTTGGCTGTCATGTACAGGGAAAACCACATGGTGTTTCTCCACATGTGGCCATAAGAGAGGGCAAGTGCACCCCTGTGATGGCAGAGAAGGCTCTCTCAGGTGTCTGGACCTTTCCTGGAGTTCTGGGTAATGCTAGATAATACTATTACTGATGCATTCCCCCTTTCATAACTTATCAATTTCACATAGTAATAATTTTCCCATTTTTCCAACAAATCTAATGTCCATAGGCCACGATCACTAAGGACAGATTCAGAATGATCTGATCAGGGAACTATTGGCTAAAACCAGTTTTTCTGTCACATACAGCGAAAAGGAGATGGTTTGTGATTCTGATGAGATGGCTCACAAGAAAAATACACTTGAAAAGTAACAGCAAAGGAGTGAGGCCTGGGTCCATGGACTGTAGACAAGGAATAAGGTGCTCCTCATCCAGGTGAGAAAGTTTAAATCCTACATGATTGCCCTGGCCAGGCATATAGGGCTTGACCACCTGCAGATCAGGCTAAGGTTTCCTCACAAGCATGGTCTCAACCAGGCTCAAGTTAGGCTGGCATGGTCTACCTTCAAGCTCCTCAGGAAGTATGTCAGTGACTAAAAGGACAATGCAAAAAATTGCCATTTTGGTATATGTATAGCAATGGTGGTATTCAGGACAGAAAGTGAGCACAGCACACAATGAGAAATCACAGTGTTGCAATTCATTTTCTCTCAGGTATGAATCCTCTAGGATCATGTTTGAAATTTTATATTCATCCATAAATCATGACCTTCTCACCCTGAGCCCGTGTTGGAACATCCCAGGGACAGCTCACTCAGGAGCCACAGGGACGCATCTTTCTCGAGGGAGCCTGTGACGACAGGTCAGGCAGCTGCCTGCAAAAAAATACACATGGATGGATAGGCTATATTTGTCATTTTTTTAAAAAAAGACGTTTAATTCCGACCTGCTCATCCAAGATGAAAACATTTCCCAATTTCTCTACCAGGATGGTCTTAGTTCATTAAAATTGATCATTACCTTGTCAAATTGGTGGCCACCCAGTGGATTAATAAAGCTTACTTCAGGGTGTGTCTGGATGAGTGGTTGAGCCAGAACCATGAGGGTCTGTATCCAGGACCTGTCCTACTTCCTGCATTGTGCTGTTCCTTTGTTATTCTTCCCACTTTCCATGGATCATGCAGCTTTATTCCACCAGCTGCAGGTACCATGATATAACTACGTTGAGCAAGCTGCTATGGACTGAATTCTCTGAAGCTGTGAGTCAAATATTCCTCTCCTCCTTTAAGATGTTCATGTCAGGTGTTCTGTTCCAGCAATGGGAAACCTGACAGCTATCTATGACATCAGATTCTTTCTGTACAAGGATGAATTTTAATGCAAGAAATGTGATGGTTATTTTCAGACAGTGTGGGAGAAACCTGAGAACAATCACTCAGTACCATGTGTCAGTTTTATCGGAGGACATCCCCAGTGCTGGTCATGTTGAATTACTGTACTACCTACTGTCTTAAAAATGTAACCTGTGTGCCATGTAAGAAATACACAGCATAGGAAAGGCTTAAATCTTAGATGAATGCCGTCTACTCAGACCCTCCAAATTCAGTCAAGTGCCTCGCATCCTGAATGTCAGCCTTGAAAGTTGCACCGCACCCCTGGATCAATGTACTTTCCACACCCAGCTCAGGATTTCTCTCTTGGGAAGCTCTACCTATAGGTTTCCTCAACTTGACATGCTTCAACCTGAAAATTTATAACAACTGTCTTACTTGTTCTATTCCTATGGAAACACATTTTTGCAATGCCAGGTCTTGGTGAGAACTGGAATAATGACTGATGCTATGTGTTTGACTTAGCTACTTAAACACTCACATGACCTTCTGTTAAGTCACCACTTTTCTCTGGAAGCAATTTTCCATGTTACCAATATTTGACTTTTAAGTACGCATGATTCCCTCTAATGATTTCATTATCCTTTACTTCAGACTTGTAAAACAAATAACATTTCTACTGCTGCCTAAAATCCTGCACCCTCTGAGTTCCCACTCCAAAAGTACTGCCATTACTCAGGGCAAATGGGTCTATGGGTGTTATTTTATTCACTTTTTTGTATCTGAGACACAATACTGGACATCCAGGAATTAAGGAGGGAGAGGTTTGTTTTGGCTCACAGGTTGGAGAAGTTTCAGCCCAGAGCCAGCGGGCTCCAAGGAATAGCAGTAGGGCAGAGGAGAAACAGCTCATGGCATGGCAGGCAGGAAGCAGAGAGCAATCAAGGGAGGGGGAGGGAGACAGAGGCTTCAACACCACACCCCCATCACCCACCTCTTCCAACCAGGCTTCACCACCCAAATCACATTTAGCTTAAACTTAACCATACTGGACCAATCCACTGATGACTATCAGGTTCCCATGATCCAAACCCTCCCCAAAGCCCCACAGGAGCGATTAGTGGGGGAATCTAGATACAAAAGTTAGCAGGTCCACTCAGTGTTTGCATGACCCACAGCATGGACTGAGTCAAAATGACAAAGGGAAAAGCAGGTTCACTACAACACTTGTATCTCCTTGAGAAATAAACTCATGTTTAGCCTCACTACTGCCATTTATCCAAGTCATAGCTTGACTGCTGCCAACACACAGGATGGTGACAAGTGTCATTGCTCTGACACATTCTGCACAGACAAAAGGTTCACAGATTTAGAAAGTAGAATATCTTTTCATTTAATATTTTAGAACAGAAAATTCTTCATTTTTAAAAATTTTTTCACAATAGTGTAGCTTGAATCCAGGATACCTACAATGAGGAAAGTCCCAAATTTTTTTGCGTATTTCTTTTTGACACAGCAGATGGATAAGTTGCCAAATTGGCCACGTTGGATTCTTTTAGGCTAGTTTCTTCAGGACATTTATCAAATGTAAACAAATACAGATTTTGTCAAACGCTTTTGCTACACATATTGAGATAATCATGTCACTTTTTTCTTCATATTTTTGCATTTTTGATATTTGTTGATTTGCATATGATAAACCATCTCTGTATTCCTGGAATGAAACAAAATCAATCATGCTCTGTAAGATTTTTGATGTTATTCAATTCAATTTATAAGAATTTACTGACAAACTTTACATCAAGATGTATTCCAATGTTTTCTTTTTCACTGAGTCACTATCTGTTTTTCAGATCAAGGTGATACTGGTTTTGTAGGATGAATCTGGAAGCACTGCTTCTACTTCTATTTTATGGAACAGTTAGAGGAACATTTGTGTTAGCTCTTTAAAGAACTTCCTAAAGCTGATTGTCAGCTTGGGTGCTTTCTGAATCACTGATAAGAAGTAGCTGCTCCGTTCAGGAAATACCAAAAGATGTGGAGGATTCTGCTCTCCTGTAAAGCACACCCAGACATTGCAGCGCTTCTCAACATGACATCAGGTACCTGCAGTGTGTGCATCTAGAGGGAAATGTCTGAAATATTTCCCATACCAGCTTTGTACACAGAACTCAACTCCCTGTTTCCCAGAGGGCATATTTGTCTGCTAGCTTAATCCGTTGTCTTGGATCATATTAGGATTCTCTTCTTTTTTTTTTTTTTTTTTTTTTTTTTTTTTTTTTTTTTTTGGTTTTTCTCCGGTACCGGGAATCGAACTCACGACCTTGCGCTTGCCAGGCAAGCGCTTTTTGCCACTGAGCTAAATCCCCAGCCCCAGGATTCTCTTCTTTAGCAACTAGCTGACAAGTTTACCACCTCCATTGAGCTATGACACATTCAGCGCATGTCTTCTCTACTTTTTTTTTATTTGACTTGTTATTCCAAATATCAATATGGCTGGGCTTTTCCATGGTTACTGACTTTTCCCCACCAGTCCATGCTTGCCTATGTCTATCTATTTTATCACTCTACTGCATCCCTGCTGGTTTATATTAAGCCCCTGGAGCAGCCTATATGCCCTGGTATCCTGAAGGCTCCCAGGTTGATATTTCTGAGTTTAAAGTGTCAAATATGGAGGAAGATAAATTCCAGAGTTAACGAGAAATAAGATGTCATGATTCAAATGAGCCACTGGAGTTTCAAAGTCTTCTGTCATAAATGTTCCTTGTGTTTCAGGACTCTGCACTTTAATGCTCTGTGATGTGTGCATTCTGGTGACTGCAAACCATGGAAACTTCAAATTCTTATTCCTCTTCTACCTCATTACAATCCAGAAGAGTAGTGCTCATAACTTACTGCATGGAGATTATTGGGGAGGTTTTGCATGGGAAGATTCCTGCTGTCACTATTAACTACAGGTACCACAAAAGGGCACCTAAAAACACCCAATCTCTGATTTTTGTAGGACTGAACTCTGTCTAGCAGGTTCTCTGTTATATGGAAATATAAAAACAGAAAATGTGATGAGCATCTAACAGAGCAAAACCACAACTGTACTCAAGGGAAAAGCTGATTGATTTTGTCCTCTCATTACATGGGAAAAATCCACTGCAAACACATCTATGGCAGTGTGGTTGCATCTGGGACACCGGGGGCCCCGTGCCTGTGCAGAGTCACTGAGATGAGCCAGGCATGCAGCTGTGCCCACCCCGCCCACCCTGCTGATTTGCATGTCCCAGAGCACAGCCCAGGCCCTGAGGACTTCTTCATAGGCTGTCACACCCTGTGCAGGACTCAGTCCCAGTCAGGACACAGCATGGACATGAGGGTCCCCGCTCAGCTCCTGGGGCTCCTGCTGCTCTCGCTGCCAGGTAAGGATGGGCAGCCCTGGGGATTTCCTCAGCACTGTATGGTCAGAGCCACCTGAGACTTTCAGGAAGTTCTTTTAAACATGATTAATTATGTAAATATTGTTTCTCTTTCCTCTGTCAGGTGTCATATGTGACATCCAGGTGACCCAGTCTCCATCTGTGTCTGCATCTTTAGGAGAGAAAGTCACCATCACCTGTCAAGCCAGCCAGGGTATTAGCAGTTATTTACACTGGTATCAGCAGAAATCAGGGAAATCTCCTACTCTCCTGATCTATAATTCTAAGAATTTGCACTCTGGGGTCCCATCGAGGTTCAGTGGCAGTGGATCTGGGACCGATTTCACTCTCACCATTAGCAGCCTGCAGCCTGAAGATGTTGCAACTTATTACTATCAGCACGGTTATGGTACCCCTCCCACAGTGACACAAGCCCTCATAAAAACCTGCCAGGGAAGCAGAACAGTGAGGCTGGGTTGCCCCAGCTGGTCTCCACCCGCTGAAAATGTTTTCTAGATGCAGTCAGGCCTTCACGGTCACTGGAGGATGTTATAGAAGAAATCAGCGTTTCTCTTCTGTGTCATAATTGCCTTTCCTTCACCTCAATCCCAAGAGCTCTGAATATCAAACACCTTAATATGAAGGAAAGTGTATGATGCCTGAGGATTCTTGTTGTGGAATCTTTCGGAGCTCAGTGAACCAAAGAAGAGTTATTTAAATACTCCAGCAGTAATTGCTCTAATGCAATGAATTGTAATCTAACTACAGCTTTCACTGTCCTGAGGTGCTCAGAGCAGCGGATACTAGCAATGGAGAGTTCTCTGGTTGCCCCAGATGGCAGTAATACCACAGAATGAGCCGCCTCACTGTGATCTTAAGGCTGTGGAGAAAATCTAGAGTGGTGTTATGATTCTGTCACTTGCTTAAAGCAAGTCTTCTTGTGAGTTTCCAGCCCTTCCCTCTGATCATGTACCAACCTAGTGATTTCTATATGCGCTGAACCTGCTCAGTCTTTGAATTCTACAAATACATTAAAGGCAAAAAGAATCACTTGGACTAGCGTGCAATCACAGGATTTTTCCATACTAAATGCATCTCTTGTTAATTTTTCATACTTAGTAATGAGTGTGTGTACTTCTCCATGTCTTCATCTGATCAGACAACGTTAGCACAAACCATTCTTTTCAATGCATTAACAGAAATTAGTATACTTATCTTAGCTATCCTGTACATACATATAATATAAATATATGTCTTCTATATGTATATTTTCTTTCCTTTCCTTCTTTTCTCCTTTACCCCTTCCCAGCTGTTCTTTCCTTTTGAACAGTTTCTTTCCCTTTCAGAATATCCAATGTACATTTTAGATCTGATTTACTCCTTCAGTTGCTTACATTAGGGATACAATATGATGTTTACCCATTCAAGTCTGATTTATTTCACTTATAAGTATGGTCTCTAGTTGCATCCACTTACCAATAAATGTCTCCAATTTGTCCTTCTTCATAACTGAGTAATACTCCATTGTATAAAAATATCACATCTTTGTTCTCCATTCCTCCACTGATGGACATCTGTGTTGTTTCCAAAATTTAGCTAGGACAAATTGTGCTACTATCAACATGGGTGCACATATATTGCTGTGGTATGATGTTTTTAATTCTACTGGAAAGATACCCAGAAGGGGAATAGCTAGGTAACTGGAAGCCTAGTCTTAGTTTTTTGGGAATCTCCACACTGATCTCCACAGTGGTGGCATAAGTCTACACTTCTGCCAACAGTTCAGCCAGAGGGATCATGTCACAGAATTCCATGACAGTGAGAATTTTTACAGGTGTGCAGAGCCACCCATATTCCCTGCACCCTGACAGTTCACCTCCACCCTCAGTACCCTGCACATATGCATTGGGTGGACAGAGATGATATGGAGATAAAATGCAGGAGTCACAGTGTATGTGGCACCTTCTCCTGCCTCAGTTGTCCCAACGGCCTCAGCATCCACACTGCTGAATGCAGAGCTCTGTACAGGACCCTGCCCGAGCTGCTGGGGTTCCCACAACAAGCTCTGTGAGGGATTCTGGGCTGTGGATGATGGGGCTGGATGCACCGCTCTAGACCAGGCACCTTCGGCCTCAATCCCTCACCCTCTGGTGAGCCTGGCTGGGCTCCTCAAGGCTGCCCGTGCCTCACCAAAACAGCATTTTGGGCCCCTCCTGTTGATCATACCACCTAGAACTTCAGCTGCATGAAGACCACTGTGCTTTCAGAATTTCTAGGTAACTGATATTTGTCCTTAATTGTACAGACAATTTATAGAGAAGATAAATTGGTTGGAGCATCTAACAGAGTCTACTGATAGACGCAATAGCATCAGATTTATGAAATGAGCAGAAAAGTCACGGTCAAGACATTGGAACTGCAAACTGAAAATTCTGTAAGATGCTCTGTCTCAAAGCTGCCACTAGATGGCAAACAAACCCCAGGATAAAGGAAGGACACATTTTAGAAATGGGAAGTGGAAGTGGTATTGATCCTTGATCAAAAGGGAGCTCTAAGTCCCTGGGGTGTCTGCCCAGCTCTCAGGGCTCACTGTCTGATGGGCTGTGGTCACAGTGGGCCACATCCCCCATGTGCTACTTCCTGGTTATTTTCTGTTTTCTTGGTGATCTTCAGTAACTTCACCTTGACAAAAAATCTCCTCCAGAAAGAGGCCTGGAGCACCTAGAACTCTGGGTCAGCGCTGGACAGAGAAACAAGGGCGTTGTATCTGAAGTTCAGCAGCACAGAGATCATGAAGTGGCCCTCTGAAGTACAGGGAGGAGGGGACAGAAGCTCCTGAAGTCTCCGTTCAGTGAAGAAGAACAGACAGACCTGAAAATGGCCCCTTGGGTGGAGATAACAAAGGTCAGTGACAGACTAGATGGGACTTCAAATCTAACAACCCATCTGCTCCCAGAGTCAGCAGTACGCACGGTCCTAAGGTATCAGACAGGCCTCTGAGCTTCATGATGACCAATGTGGTTTTTCAGTGCTCATATGCAGTTTGCCACAATTTAAAATGTTATGTTCAAAATAAAAATTATCAATTTTTAATGTTAACTTAATACTTTCTCTATTAGAGTACCACAATATCCTTGTACTTATATGTCTGACTGGGGTTTAAATATTTTTCTAAGCAAAGCAAAGCCTGAATAAGACAAGTCTCTCAGAGGGGACATCTGTTCACTTTTCACTTGTTCTTGATTTTTCAGGAGCCATGCAAACAGTGTTGCGGACAGGTCGTCCCAGTTCTGGGCTCTCAGATTCTCAGACTCCATTCCAGGCCACAGTTCTTGGCTTGCTTCAGTGCTTGTGCGGAGACCAAACTCTTTCTTCCCCTGGTCCTTAGCCCAATGGCTCCATAAAGGAGCTGCTGCCTCCATAGCCCAGACTTGGAACCCTGGTCCTAGGCCGCTGTTCCAATCTCTTCCATGATAGCAGTGCTGGAGCCTGTGCTGGCCTCATAGCTTTTGTCCCTGTCCACCCCTGCTGAAGACAGCTTAGTACCTGGAAAGTTAGGAATCTGAGAGCTTGTCATTCTCAGCACCTGGCTGGTTCCAACTTCACCACATAAAGCTTTCCCTCACATCTTTCTGACCAATCTAACTTAACACATAAGCAAAGCAACGTTAAATTAGAGCATGTGTTGTGAAATATCAACGCAGCAACTATCCCAGGTTTCCTTTGGTTTACAGAGCTCAAGCGATATCTCATGGTTCCTGGTGAGGAAGACAAGCCTCTTCCAGAGCCAGGCAGGTGGGAATATTGTGAGACAGGTGTGGTCAGCCGTGAAATTAGATTAAAGGGGAGAGGGAAGGGTGGGCAGTTGCTGTGAAGGATTGTGGTTCCTATACAACAATAAAAAACAGTTTTGCCCTGTGCTTTTCTGAGGAATGTAATGAGAATACTTGATGCATAGAGGCAATGTAGCCCTCTGGAAGACATGAGGCTTTAAGGCCAGGATTGTAAAACCTATGTGAAGATAGAGGGAAAGGAGAAAAATATAGGAAGAATGCGTCCTTTCTGCTCTCTCCAAACTGCAACAGGAATTTTAAATTCTCCAACATTTGTGTCTATTGTTTGAAGAAGCTCTTAGCATTTTTCTCAATGGATTTGAAATCACTGTAAATTATTCTGAAAGCTACTTAGGAGGAAGAGGCTGGCAGACCCTTTGGCCTCGTTAGAGGAGCACAGGCAGGATAATGTGTGTCTGTGTATAAAGGTGGGGAGACTGAGGCACGAAGAAAGGGAAGCCGTAGTGCAGTGTGTCCACCTTAACGTTTTAGCCATGTGGCATCAATGTCCAGAGAAACTCAAGCAGCTTCAAAGAGTTTCTAACTTCCAGTATATTTGTTACTGTTTTTACATCTGCACCGTGAAATACTCCCAGGGTTTTTCAGTTCTCCCATCTCCCAGGGTTATTTCCTTAGAACTATGAGTTAAAATCAGGAAAGAAACATGGAGAAAGCAGGAGAGAAGAACCACACTACTAACTGCGCAATGATTCTGTCCCAGGACCCCAAAGAGGGAAACACAGTTTCTGCCAAAATCTGGAACAGGTGGGTCATGTCTGTGACCAGGGTCCATTGACCTTTCCTGACTTCCTGAAATAAAACAGCCCTGCAGCTGTGCCTGGTCCTGCTCAGCCCCTCCTGATTTGCATGCTTTGAATGCAGCCCACTGCCCTTCCTCATTAGCTCAGCACACCCTGTGCAGGAGTCAGTCCCAGTCAGGACACAGCACAGACATGAGAGTCATTGCTCAGCTTCTGGGGCTCCTGGTGCTCTGGCTGCCAGGTAAGGAGGGTCACACTGGGAAGGACACACCCAAGTGGGGTTAAGGCTGCCTGCCTCTTCAAGGAAAGTTTCTTACAGCGTGACTGACTGTGTGGATTTCTCTTTTTATCTTTCCTATGTCAGGTGTCAGGTGTGACATCCAGATGACCCAGGCTCCATCCTCCCTGT